CTGTTTCATCAGATAAATTGAATTTTGTACACATGAACAAGCTAGTTAGAAATTCTAATTGTTCTTCAAATACTTTCTTATCATCAAAACCTTAAAGGATATATGGTATGAACCAAATTTGCTTCAACACATTCTTCAGAACTGTTGTCTAACCACTTTCTAGATCTTGACACTATTTGTAACACATTTATTTCTCTTTAGAGTCAAAGTGTGTTGATTCCAGAATCTGATGATGTCACTCGTCTATGCTTCAGAGTCAGAACCTGTTTATCAAAAGTTACACACTTGACAAAAACCATTAGTATACAAAATTGTTCTTTGAGAATCAATGTATTGTTATCATCAAAACTAAAGGACAAATGCAGAACCAAATCTTGGTCTAACAAATAGTTGATTTAAATCTTTGATGATTATTAGCACTTCAAGGAACACATTTCCACTTTTGAATCTTTTGTGGTTATTGAAACTTAGAGAACAATGTCAAAGGTCACAAACTGCCTTCATCTTCTATTTTACAATAACCTTGGAAGAATAAGTCACTTAGAAGATGCTTTTTATTTCTTTCTTTTATCTCTCAAATACTCAAAGCACTTTGTCATATGAATGCATGTTCATCTTAAAGTATGATTAATCAAGAACAAACTTTAAGGCATAATGTCAGGTTTCCGATTACACTGCACATACCTCAAAATATTGTCAGTTCAATTCTGGATGAATCAAAACATGGATAACATCTTAAACACGATTAATGTTTGAAGAACACACTAGTAAGGTTTGACGTTAAGATAGTCTATTCAATGCATGCAATGAATTATCAGACATTAGTAAATCAATTTAACATAGTTAAAATTCACTGAATTGCATAAGCTTCCGAACGGATAAAAAATTCATCGAGAATCAAAGGAACCATATCCTCAATTTTGAGTTGCAAGACTTTGATAAAAAGCCTTGCTCGAATACTAATTGTTGGGTGAGAATATGGACACAAAGAGGTCTGGAAAGGGGGTAGAATAGACCTATTTCCAAAAAAAACATTTTTAAAAATATTTTAGGTCGCATAAACGAAATCAAATATTTTAAAAAACGTAGAAATAAAACACAACACAAAGAAAATTTAGAAACATCTCAATGAATTAAACCAACTTAATTATTACAAGATATCACTAAGGATTTGATTACTTCTAATACAAGTTAAATATAAGACAATTAAAGTCGCTTTAAACAAAGCGATTTAAAAACACTTATTCATTCAAAATATAATTGAGCTCATAATGATCCAATAAGAATCTTTTAAATTGGGCTATTTAAAAATCATATGTATTTTTTTTTAACGATTTTATTTAAATGGAGAAAACTAATTTGATACAATTTCTTAGATATGATTTATACTATTTTTCAATAAAAATATAATAAATTTACTAAAATATCATTTATGGAGTGAAAATAGGAGAAAGTTGCATGCATGTATAAAAAAATTATACACTTATCATATTTTTATTGAAAAATAGTATAGATTTTCTCCTTTTAAAATTTAGTCAAAATTGTTTCTAATTATTTCCTATAAAAATAATTAATTAGATATTACATTATATATAGATATAGATATAGATTTGATACTTTTATATCTATTCAAGCGGCACACACCCTTGTTTATATGATAAGTTGTTGGGATTCTGTTGTAAAATAGATAGATATAATCTCCTATAAAACCCTAACGATAACCAAATATCGGTATAGCTTTCACTTAAATTCTCAATTCTATTTTATTGAGAATTTCTTTCAATCAATATCTATCAGTAAACAGTTGAGTGCAGATTTAGGTCTTTTTCTTCAATTGACAAACATGTCAAGCTTTGAGCCGAGATTCGACTTTGAAGAAGGATGGAACTATGTACAGAAACGCATCAACAAGCTCCTGAACAATCTAGAAGCCTTACCTGATACTCACTTCAGTTCTGAGGATAACATAATGCTATACACGTACGTTTCAATTTCTTTTTGCTTCTTTTCGTTTTAGGTTTAATTCTTATTTGATTCCACATTTTTTATATCCCAATGCAGAAACGTCTTCAATATTTGTACCGGTGCTCAATCCATATGCGTGTATGAAAAGTACAAAGAAGTGATTTACGACTGCATTAAATCAACGGTGAGTATTATTTCTGATCTTTAATATAATTAATGTATCTGAACTATATATTAATATCCAATGATTTTAGATCATGAAACTAATATGATTTTGTTATCACTAGGTTTTGCCATCTTTGCAAGAAAAGAAAGATGAACTCTTGTTAAGAGAATTGCTGAAAAGATGGTCTAATCATAAAACTCTGACGAATCGCCTGTCAAAGTTTTTTCTGTATCTTGAAACTCACCATCTCAAAACGCATTCTCTTCAAGAAACTAGCTTCTTATCCTTCTATGATTTGGTTTGTCATGAATTTTACATTAAATTTTCTTTTACTTTCCTTTTATTTCTTCCAATTTTTTACCTGAGTTTACTGCGTTTTATTTATCTCAGGTTTACGATAAATTGAATAGACAGGTGAAGGATGCAATATTAGCAATGGTATTATTCTCTTCTGTTTTTTGTTTCTATATTATTTAGAATCAATTTATTTATTTGATTTTCCATGTATTGAATTTTTCATTGGTTTTTTTGGTATTCAGATTGATCGGAAACTTGTTGGAGAGACTATTGATGAAACATTGTTCAATAATATATTGGTGTTCTATTCAGAGATAGGAGAAAAGACAAGAAAAGAAGAACCAAAACAATTTGCAGAAACAATGATGATGAAAGCTAATGGAACATTCTACAATGATGATGAAAGCTAATGAAACATTCTACCTCAGATTAGTTTTGCTATCTTTGAATTAAAAGTGTAAAATGATTGCTATTTTATTCTCACTTTTTATGCTTGTTCAAAGTGAAGAATTGAATCTTTCAATTGAAAAGTATAAAAATTATTGTAACTTTGTTTGACTGGATAAATTTATACATACCTTTTTAGTAACGAGACTCTACCATACACAAACATAATTTTTTACTGGTAAAATAATATATTTACAAAAAAGCTAAACCCAAAAAAAAAAAAACAAGAATAACATAGGTACAAGAAGTGACAAAAAATAATATTGTCAAAAGAAAACAAACAACAACAATAAAACCAAGAAAAAAATAGCAGAAAATACCAGAACAACTACGCATTAGCACAATGTCCAAAAATGTACTAAGCTAAAGACTTGAGAGGAGAAATGTATAGTTTTTTTCATTTGACTAAGAGTAGTAAAGTAAAAAGAGTAAAATAACGCCGAGTGGAGGCCATGCTTTTTCTTTTCTTTTTATGTATGCATTTAAGATAAAAGAGTTATGTTTAATATTAATTTTTGTCCACCCCTACCTAATGCATTGTTACATTGTCATTCTTACTGTTCCGTGACAGATGCATGAACATCCCATTAAATCAAAGTCTCACTCTTTCTTAAAAGAAACCTAAACCAAAGTCTCTCCCTTACTAGATGAACAATCAAGTGAACAATAAGAGAAACAACAAAGAGGATACATAACTTACTATTACTAATTACTAGTTATTTTCAAATTCTAGATGCTCCAACCGTGAAAACAAACATATACTAAAATACATTGGACATCACTAGCATTCATCAATCTCACAAATTCACCACCAAAAGAGAATCAATCTAAAAAAAACAAACAACCATAAATCACTATAAAAAAAATTCACTTACTTGTTACCCTTAATCTTGAACCAAGTCTCAGCATAATGTTTATGCACAACAGCCAAATGAAACGGAGGAGGTGACAGAATCGGTGACGGAATCACGGAGGAGGGAGGTTTCGTCGTGGATCGTGGGCGGAAGGAGGACGTGCGCACGGTCGTGTGTGGGGCGGAGGTAGGAGGCGCTGTCGTGGGGCGGAGGGAGGACGGAGTGGGTCGGAGGGGGAACGACGACGGTCGACGAAAGTGGGTCGTGGGGAGGAGGGTTTGAAAGAAAGCTTGAAATGTGTAGGTTTTGTTGTGAACGTAAACTTATTTTGGAATTCGCAGGATCTTTTAAATCGGTTGAATATGGAACCGATTTAAAAGCATAGTGCACAAAACTTTTTAAATCGGTGGAAAGCACAACCGATTTAAAAAACTCACTCGTATTAACTTTTTAAATCGGTGGAAAAAATAACCGATTTAAAAGCCCAATTTTTAATTTATTTTTTAAATCAGTGGAAAAAAGAACCGATTTAAAAGCCCATTTTTTAATTTTTTTAAATTTTATTTTTTAAATCGGTTGGACCCAAAACCAATTTAAAATCCCATTTGTTAATTTATTTTCTACCAACCCTAACTTTTTTACATCGGTGGAATAATTGGTCCGATGTAAAAGCTCTAATAATTTTTTTATTATTATTTACGATACTGTCACCGTGTTTATAATTTCACATTTTACATCGCTTCGAGTGAATATCCGATATAAAATTATTCTCTCAAATGTCTTTTTTTCTAGTAGTGTAACTCTCTTCAAACAAACTGATAAAAAGTGGTGAATTTCAAAAGAAAACGTCACCTTGTACACACTAGTGAAAGCAGCGATAATGATAGCATCAACTATCCATCTTGCATGCAAAATTCTAACAATCAAACGTCACCTTGTACACAAACATAAATTGTTTTCTTTTGACAAAAATTTTTTTTTTGTCACTTCTTGTACCTATGTTATTCTTGTATTTTTCTTTTTTGGGCTTTAGCTTTTTTTAAATAAATTATTTTACCAGTAAAAAATTATGTTTGTGTAAGGTAGAGTCTCATTACTAAAAAGATGTGATAAATTTATCCAGTCAAACAAAGTTACAATAATTTTTATACTTTTCAATTGAAAGATTCAATTCTTCACTTTGAACAAGCATAAAAAGTGAGAATAAAATAGCAATCATTTTACACTTTTAATTCAAAGATAGCAAAATTAATCTGAGGTAGAATGTTTCATTAGCTTTCATCACCATTGTAGAATGTTCCATTAGCTTTCATCATCATTGTTTCTGCAAATTGTATTGGTTCTTCTTTTCTTGTCTTTTCTCCTATCTCTGAATAGAACACCAATATATTATTGAACAATGTTTCATCAATAGTCTCTCCAACAAGTTTCCGATCAATCTGAATACCAAAAAAACGAATGAAAAATTCAATACATGGAAAATCAAATAAATAAATTGATCTAAATAATATAGAAACAAAAAACAGAAGAGAATAATACCATTGCTAATATTGCATCCTTCACCTGTCTATTCAATTTATCGTAAACCTGAGATAAATAAAACGCAGTAAACTCAGTTAAAAAATCGGAAGAAATAAAAGGAAAGTAAAAGAAAGTTTAATGTAAAATTCATGACAAACCAAATCATAGAAGCATAAGAAGCTAGTTTCTTGAAGAGAATGCATTTTGAGATGGTGAGTTTCAAGATACAGAAAAAACTTTGAGAGGCGATTCGTCAGAGTTTTATGATTAGACCATCTTTTCAGCAATTCTCTTAACAAGAGTTCATCTTTCTTTTCTTGCAAAGATGGCAAAACCTAGTGATAACAAAATCATATTAGTTTCATGATCTAAAAACATTGGATATTACTATCTCTGAACCTTACTATATAGTTCAGATACATTAATTATATTAAAGATCAGAAATAATACTCACAGTTGATTTAATGCAGTCGTAAATCACTTCTTTGTACTTTTCATACACGCATCCGGATTGAGCACCGGTACAAATATTGAAGACGTTTCTGCATTAGGATATAAAAAATGTGGAATCAAATAAGAATTAAACCTAAAACGAAAAGAAGCAAAAAGGAATTGAAACGAACGTGTATAGCATTATGTTATCCTCAGAACTGAAGTGAGTATCAGGTAAGGCTTCTAGATTGTTCAGGAGCTTGTTGATGCGTTTCTGTACATAGTTCCATCCTTCTTCAAAGTCGAATCTCGGCTCAAAGCTTGACATTTTGTCAATTGAAGAAAAAGACCTAAATCTGCACTCAACTGTTTACTGATAGATATTGATTGAAGGAAATTCTCAATAAAATAGAATTGAGAATTTAAGTGAAAGGTATACCGATATTTGGTTATCGTTAGGGTTTTATAGGAGATTATATCTATCTATTTTACAACAGAATCCCAACAACTTAGCATATAAACAAGGGTGTGTCCCACTTGAAAAGATATAAACGTATCAAATCTATATTTATGTGTATATATAATGTAATATTTCATTAATTATTATCTTATTTGAAATTTTTATAGGAAATAATTAGAAACAATTTTGACTAAATTTTAAAAGGGGAAAACTTAAATACAATTCTTTATGTGTGATCTATACTATTATACGATATTATATCAATCTATTTTACATATAAATCCCTACAACTTAGCATATAAACCAGCGGGTGACCCCTCTAAACATTATGCCAAATAAGATCATTTTTTTTTGCCTTTAGCAGCGCTGCCTAAAGTGGCGCTGCTAAAGGTAAAGGCAGCGCTTTTTTTTATGGATAAAGTGCTGCTATATGCCCCCTTTAGCAGCACTTTTAGCCGCGCTTCCCCCCCCCCCCCTTTAGCAGCGCTTTTCAGAAGCGCAACCTATTCCCCTCCCCACTTTTAGCAGCGCTTTTCAAAAGCATTGCCTACTCCCCCTCCCTTTCAGCAGCGCTTCTGAAAAGCGCTGCCTATTCCCCCCCCCCCCCCCCCCCCCCCTCTTTAGCAGCGCAGCGCTTTTACTTAAAAGCGTTGTATATTCTTGATGTTTTTAAATTTTTTTTTTAAATAATCACTTTTTATATATTTTTTTCGATAAACCTGCTTATAACAATTACAGTTACTTTACATATAATCATTGTAATTCATATAAACCTGCTTATATATAATTCAACACAAGTCGGTCCTCAGAACAACTTCACAAATACAATTACTTTACATATAATTACAAAACCGATAACTTTACAAATACATACGACTTCCAGAAATATTATTATCCTGCATCAATATTTGACGATACATATACCTTATACAATTCTCAACTCAAGAATGTATTGACACCATTCCTCCTTAATTTCTTTCGATCCTGCTTTCGAGTAAGTACCACACTTGAATTCATCAAAGTACTACATAATATAACAAAACATGCACGATTTAGTTTTAAAACTAATTACTCAGATGAAATATCGGTTAATTATTAAAATAAATCATATAGCTTATGAATTTATCCATACCATGATTGAAATATCTATTTGACCCGAGTGAATGATTTCCTTCATAAAGCGCAATACAAAATATCCGCAATTAATCCCATTGCGCTGACGAGGACACTGTAAATAGAAAAAACAAACGATCATTTATCAAGATATATAGTTTAAATAGTTTTATCAAGTAGAATCATTATAACAGTCAAAAATGTGAAAATATACCTGTACTTTGATCCAGCTAATGTTGTTAGCCTTCCTTTTTGGCACTTTTTCTTCTCGTTGCGATCAAAATATTTGTATAGCTCTAACATAATATAAATGAATATTTAAAACAGTCTCACATAATAAATAAAGGTAATTATTCAGAACAGTATATCTCATCACTTATGTATCAACCATGGTCTTCATATCAAGATATTTTGTTTGATCACCATCCAATGAATCCAGATAATACACTATTTCTTTCATCGGATTAATCGCAACCAACAACCAGTGTCCACTGTAAAATAAGACAAAAGTTTAGACAGAAATGTTATATAGAATGGCAAAAAACGAATAATTATAATAAATGAATTTAGAATGAAATCTAACTCATGGCCAGTATTATATGGCAAAAAGTACAACTTCTCTGTATCTGTGACCATAAGTCATTTGACAAAGTAATCTATGACTACATCTGGAGTGTGATCGATTAACCGTGCGTTGATACAGCTAGCAGATAAGAATACGAATCTTGAAGTCAAATCATGCGGGACCAACATCTTGTCATACAATAACCTTAAATAGAAACATAATTAACATTAGAATATTCATTTAAATGAGAAAATAAATTTTTCAATTATGTAATTAAAATTGATCGGAGTATTACCTGATGTAGGAATGCATAACACCGATGCCCAATTCAGAATGTTGGAAAATCTGGTCCAAATCCTCCTTGGCAATTGTTTCGGCATATTTAAAATCGAAAATACCTTCCTGCATAGGTATTTGACGGATGCCACCCTCAACCACATCTGTTGTTCCTACATATGTTTCAAGGCACAAACTAAATTGAGGAACAAATGCTTTTTTTGGCTCGGCCTTTTTTTTGTTGGGCACCTTGCTAGATTCAGGCATCTTACCTATTAAATGTGCTTTTGTAACTGCTAGATTTATTATTACTATTTTATTTTATTGTTTCAGTTTTAGTCAATTAGTGGTTGCTATACTTTAGGAGCAAGCTAGTAGTAGTTGCTATATTTTAGGAGCAAATTAGTTTAATTATTCAATTCCCTAAAATCCTGGTTACGTGGGATAGTTTTCAGTTTTTCTTTCTATTATTTATTGTAACGCTTCTATTGATCAAAACATATTCCTTTCTTTTAACCAACAATTTTCTCTACTTCTCTACCTCTCTATTTGTTATTTTTTGCCATTAAACTAACAAATTGGTATCTAGAGCCTTCTTCTTAGAGGGACCTGTGAGTGAACCCATTAAAAAACCCACCATAATAAACCTTCCTTCAATTCATCAAATAGATGGATTTTGAAACTCCTTACACAAAACTAGCACCGCCTGTGTTTGACGGTGATAATTATCACATCTGGGCAGCAAGAATGGAGGCTTACCTAGAAGCAAATGACCTTTGGGAAGCCGTTGAGGAAGACTATGAAGTTCTTCCTTTACCGAACAATCCAACAATGGCTCAGATAAAAAAAATCACAAGGAGAAGAAAGGAAGAAAATCTAAGGCAAGAGCTACTTTGTTTGCTACTGTCTCACAAGACATTTTCACCAGAATCATGACGATTAATTCGGCATTTGAGATTTGGAATTTCCTCAAGGAAGAATATGAAGGAGATGAAAGAATCAAGGGAATGCAAGCAATGAATCTGGTTAGAGAATTTGAAATGCAGAAGATGAAGGAGTCTGAAACAATTAAGGAGTATGCAAACAGACTTCTTAACATTGCTAATAAGGTGAGGTTGTTAGGTTCTGATTTTTCTGATTCAAGAATAGTTCAGAAAATACTAGTAACTGCTCCTGAAAAATTTGAAGCTTCTATTACTTCATTAGAAAACACTAAGGATCTTTCAAAGATCACATTGGCAGAACTTGTAAGTGATATGCAGTCCCAAGAGCAGCGAAGGTTGATGAGACAAGATGGTGCAGTCGAAGGTGCTTTACGAGCCAAGCACCATTATGGGGAAACCAGTAGAAAGAAGCATCTCAAGAAGGACCAGCCATCAAGCAGCGGTAATAGTGCAAACAACCAAAACAATGGTAGGGTTAAAAAGAAAAACTACCCACCTTGTCAGCAATGCGGGAAATTGGGTCACCCACCATACAAATGTTGGAAACGACCAGACGCGAAGTGTAGTAAATGCAATTAGCTTGGACATGAAGCTGTAATTTGTAGGAGCAAATTTCAGCAGCAACATGAAGCCAATTCCTAAGTTGTTGAGCAAGATGAAGAAGACTATATTTTTGCTGCAACATGTTATTCGACAAGGAGCAATTCTGAATGCTGGTTAATTGATAGTGGTTGTACGAACCACATGACATATGACAAGACTCTATTCAAGGATTTGAAGCCCACAAATGTCTCAAAGGCCAGAATAGGGAATGATGGCTATATTACTGCAAAAGGAAAAGGAACCATTGCAATTTCAACGTGTTCAGGTACCAAAATTATATATGATGTTCTCTACGTACGTGACATTGACCAAAACTTACTAAGTGTAGGTCAGTTGATTAAAAAGGGATTTAAAGTATCTTTTGAAAATCAACAATGTATCATCTACGACATTGTTGGATGGGAAGTTTTACGGGTTAAAATGAGAGGTAAAAGCTTCTCGTTTGATCCAACAAAGGAGGAGCAGGCAGTCTATTTTACTCAAGTCAGTCCCACAGAACTCTGGCACAAGAGAATCGGCCATTGCCATCTTGAAAGAATGTTGAACATGCAAAGAAAAGGCATGTCAAGAGGTATGCCAATACTTTCTGATAATTTACCAAATTGTAATGCTTGTCAATTTGGTAAACAAATAAGAAAATCATTCCCCAAATCAGCTTGGAGAGCTTCTCAAAAGTTGCAGCTTGTTCACACTGATGTGGCGGGACCCCAAAGAACACCATCACTACAAGGTAGTATATACTTCATTCTTTTCATAGATGACTTCACAAGAATGTGCTGGATATTTTTTTTGAAATTTAAGCATGAAGTGGCTGGAGTATTTATGAAGTTCAAGAAAATGGTGGAAACTCAAAGTGGCTGCAAGATTCAATGTATAAGATCTGACAATGGGACAGAGTATACATTAACAAAATTTAATCAATTTTGTGAAGAAGCTGGTATTGAACATCAACTCACAGCCCCCTACACTCCACAGCAAAATGGGGTTAGTGAAAGGAGAAATAGATCGGTGATGGAGATGGCTAGATGCATGTTACATGAGAAGGAGTTGCCTAAAACATTTTGGGCAGAGGCGACTAACACAACGGTTTTTCTCCAAAATCGGCTTCCAACCAAAGCCTTGAAGGATAAAACTCCATTTGAGGCTTGGTATGGGTATAAGCCATCACTAACGTTTCTTAAAGTGTTTGGTTGTGTTTGTTTTGCACATGTTCCACAGGCTAAGCGTGACAAACTTGACAAGAAGGCAACTCTGGGCATCTTTGTAGGTTACAGTTCAGTTTCAAAGGCCTACAAAGTGTATCATCTTCAAACCGGAAAGATGATTGTTACCATAGATGTGCACTTTAATGAAGAACAGCAATGGAA